AACTCTGAACAGCTGAAATGTCTTATAAATAGCTCAGACCCAGAGGAAGTGCAAACGTCTGCATTGTGAATTGTAGATCTTAATTACAGACAATGGCTGGTACAGCAAGTAGCACGGAAAAAAAAAAGTGAAACAGTTGCACTGTTCATGGTTGGCAATAATTCTTCAGGAAAATATTTACTATCAATCAGTTATGAGAAAAGGGACTCTGCGCTCATAAAACAGCACGTTGCTTCTCATACCAGGACCATTTTGCTTCAGCATAATCTGAATTTAAACAGCTTGTTTCCTGCGGATATAATTTTGGAAATAAATAAAACAAGTCTATCAAAATCTGGAGAATGTGTATGGTGGGGTAGGGTGGGGGAGCAGGATATCACATTTCTTCCTCAGCCATTTGCAAAGAGGTTATTAGACTGAGGCAAAGCTAAAGCCTGAAGACTGTCACGAGCAAAAATAAATAAATAATTAGAAACCCACAATTAAGATAAAAGAAGCCACATCACATCGCTATGAAAAGAAAATCATCATTATGTTAACAGTCGAAGACAAACCTCTGATTCTGTATACCGCTTGAGTTGTCTAAATACTCAGAATCCAGCGCTGAACTTCATGTTTCATAGCACCTTTTGAACACAAACCAACCTTCAGCCATGTCCCTGCAACACCAGCTATTCACAACACCCTCTTTCACAGAGACAACACAGAACAGAAGAGTGAAATGGCATAAGTGGCATGCCTGGACCTCTCCTGGCCCACAGTGGCTGAGCAGGCATTTGTAGGCAACGGCCTCAGAAGCTGATGTCCCAGTCATGTCCCCAGCATACAAAAGGGAACACTGCTAGCAAAGGTTTTGGAGCTGGAAGCATGACAGCTGACAGCCTCTCTGCATCACTGCGCAAAAGCATAATACAAAAATAAATTTAGGATGTGAAGGAACATACTTTCTCATTAAACCAGTTGAAGAAGCATCAAGAAACAACGTAGTTTGTCAGATAATATTCATTCAGGATTACAATGCTCTACTATCAATTCAAGGACTGGGAAGGTTTCAGAAGCACTGGAAAACTACGTTATCTGAAGATATACTGACTCAGCAGTGTCTCACAGCAGAACTCCAAGCTGCATGTGCTGCTCATGTAAAGTAAATGCAGCGACACTCTCAGGAAAGAGGAGCCATCAATCTGTGACATAAAGGGAGTTGAGAGTCCAAGAGGGACACTCTTCAGATCAATTTGTCCTACTGCCAACTGGAACATCCAGCCTGGAACCCTAAATGTTTGTTTGTTGAAGTGTAGTCGTGGTTTCTCCACTGCATTTCATACAGAAATCCTGAGCTCAGTGTTATTACTGTGTGGATTAGTCTAACCCGAAAAATTCTGAAGTGGAGATGCAGAAAGAACTCACAAAGAAAAGCTGGTTCCAATTAGCAGCTCCTTCCACCACTCCCCCTCTTCTTCACTGGAATCCCCCTTGAATGTAAGAGTGCAGATACAGCTAAATAATACTATGCTTCTTTGCAAGAATATGTCCCTGGAGGACACGACACGCTTGGTTTGCTGACACCTTAAGAGGCAGGACCAGGGATCATACATGGGCATGGCAAGGAGCAAGGAGTGCTCAGCTGCATTTTGCTTTTTCCAATTTTGTTCACCTCTGGTAATAACAGGGGCTGGGAACCTGTCCCAGCTGCTGCCCAGCTCAGAGCTAAGCAGATATGCAGGGATGCTGTATGACATTTAAAAGGTGCCTCTGCGCTGTCTGTGGCTGCTATGCCATAGGTTGTCTGGCTCTGGCACATACAGAGAAGAATTTAATGTGCAAAATGAAACTGAGAACACTTCCCTATGCAGCAGATGCAGACGAACTTGATCTGACTGCACGAGTTAATAAAAAAAAAACTATCTAATGAATACAGGAAATGGGTATTGACTGCAAAACTCCATCAGATCAGCTCCTTCTCCTGCTGGGAAGCAAAAGAGCACTTTGAATTAGGAAAATATTTCCACGATCCAAGGAAGTGTACTATCCAACAGACTCCAAGTGAGCAGCAGAAGTCAAACCTAGCACAGCCCACATTATCAAAGGGTGAAACGGCAAGACCTCTGTTTAAAAATATATAACCCATCTAAGCAAAGACTCAGCCAAGGAGAATGGAGACAAGCAGAGCCTCCCTCACTGCAGGGCAAAGCATGAAGGAAGGTCACTGCACAAATCAAGTGGTCCAGGATACAGGACAGGAGCATCACAAGAGTCCTAGGGACAGACCAGATGCCAGGGGATTTTTAACTGAGGATGCACCACACACCAACACCATTATCTGACCCGAAGATACTGGCTAACAAAATATGGAACAAACAATGGGAACAGATGCTCAGTTGGACAATTTTCAATAACCCTCATTAAAACCAAACGCCCTGCCCTTGCAGCTCAGGTTCATGTTATATTTCTACCTTATTTAAGCATCTTGCACCAATTTCTGAGAAAGTCATCCAATTATGGTTGCACACCAGTACCACTGTAACAAGAAATGCTCTTGCAAATATTTTGCAGTTTCCAAAGGGAGGATTTCTGTGTGTGAGCAGCATCTATAAAAACACAATTAGAAATTACATTTGCCTTTTAAAGACATTAGGTTAAATATATATCACACTTGTTGATCACTCAGAGGCAGTGGCAATAACATGCCCAAAGATTAATGGAAGAACTCCCAGTGACATCTGTGCACCTAAATATATAATTATTAATTTATGATCACTCCTATGCAGTCTAGGCATGCACATTTTGAACAATTTTTCCTGTCAAGGCTGATATTGCATTGCAGAATCAGAAAAGGTAATCATTATTTCCAAAGTAACCCTTTTTGTCCTTCAATATCACTTTTAAAAAAGCAAGCAAGCAAACAAACAAAGAAAAAAATTCACAGTACTTTCAGAAAAGTGCTGCAGACAAAGCAACTTGCATTTATGCTTTCCAGTATTCACCCTCTTGACAAAAGATTTTAATGTTCAAAGCCTTAAGACATCAATCATGGAGGATAAAACTCGCCATGTGCATAAGGCTAGGAGAAGGCCTCTGAACTCCTTAAATCCCATTTAAGCCCTTCACCGAGGGAACATTTAACAGTTGTGCCATTTGCCTATGCCATCACAGAGCCATCTGCATCTAGCTAACTGGAGTTTAAACGCTTCAACACTTCTGGAATTTGAAAGATAAGCTTTCTTAGAACCTATTTCACTTTGTTTTGCAGCTGGGAAGGCGGGGAAAGGGGTACAACAGCCAGACAATCCAGTTCTAGGGGAAATACATCCCTGTAAGAGTCCTTCTTTTACATATATTATATAATCATGCAGTGTATGGAGACACAATACTTAAGAACATACAACTTTCTATCTCCAGAGTGACAGTTCAGATTTATCCTCAATAACACGAAACAAGACTTGCCAATCTACTTCCAAATTTGCCTATTTCTCTTACCATGACCCCACTGAATAGGCTGCTTCAGGACACTCAATTATTTGGGACACTGGGAAGTTAAAGGTATGTCATATCAGTTTAAAGAGGCATCACCTAAATTAGCAGTAATTCCTGCACATCCTGCTCCTCAGTAAGAAGATCAGGATGGTGTACAGTACATGGCATTGAGTGGGTTTACTCCTAGCTAGCTCGCTGTGAGCTGCTCCATTGGCATCAGAATAGTGCTGTATGCTGATATAATTCATTAAGAGCTAATTCAAGAGTTTCACTTTGTATCGTGAAGGGCCTGAGGAAGCAACATGCAAAACCAATTGTCTTAAGCTAGGAAAGCAGATTTCAGGATTCATTATTAGCACTTAGCACTTTGTGCCAGGATTGGTAACTTGTTTCTGAAGTGCATGCCCACTGAAAGGCAACCTCGCATAGCAAGAGCAGTTTAGAAGTGCTAAGTCACTTGAATGCACCATGGCAAACTTTTATGGTGGCCAATTCAGAAAAAAAGAAAATAAAAGTAATGGGACATCCAAATTTCACTAGAAAAATTCCAAAGAAAAGATTTAGTTGGGATTAGCTTAAAAGTCAATACAAAAGCAGGCCTTGAAGAGACAAGGCACCTTTAAAGCATGGGGAAAAGGGTGACTTCAAGAATATCAAGGAATTTAAAACAGTGAAAGAGAAAACAGGCTTTCGAGTGGTCAGGTCGTGGTGACAGAGAGCTACAAAATGCCAGCTGGTTTCAGTAACAGATGGCTGTGTGCACTGATCTGTCCTGCATGCCCATTCTAACCCTCCTCACAGTGGAAACACGAAGCTTATACAAGGCTAAGTACATCCTTCACACAGCCTTTTTATACTTATTGCATCATGGTTCAAATGTTTTCCATTCACAAATAACTCTGCATGTATCTTATTTTACTCCAGTTATGCTGAATTTTAAGAAAAGAGGGTGGCTAATGGCACCTCCTCTGTTCCAATCACACCTAGTACAATTTTCAAGGAATGTATTTTCTCTGATGCATGAATATATCTATTTTCTTACCATTCTGACTGTGCTTCCCTCTTCCTTTCCTAAATAGAGCATTCACTGGATTTTAGTTAAAGGGCTTTTGTTAACAACTCTTTTCACACATTCCTTCTGGCAGCTAAGAAGGGGCACCATGACACAGAGTTCTCATGCTTCGTATGTTTTATATATATAGATCAGCATCTATCTGGACATTTATCATGTGTAGTTGCCACAGCTAATCACATGGCAGAAACAGGTCATCCCACTGCAAAAGCCTACCTGAGTAGCAGAATAAACTCTTCTGCCCTAGATCGTTCAGGACTCAAGTAATCATTTCCAACAGAGGAAAACAGCACATCTCAAACTCTACCCCAAAGGATGGAAAAGCCTACCTCAAGTAGTTACTTTCCATTCAAACACTTTTCCTAACTGTCATCCTTAACAAGAATTTTTCTTTGATGAACAGTGAATAGAATGCTAAAGAACCTCTCAAAACCAAAGCCATTCTGTTACTTACTTTGGCCACACAATTTTCAGTCTTCATAGCCGTGCTTCCTAGACATACTGTTTCCTGGTTTAAGCACAGTCTGGCACAGCTGTTGTAGGTCTGCAGAAAGATTAAAATGGTTATGAATAGAAGACGACAATTTTCTTTCAGGCACCATATTTTTGGCACCAGAATCCACGACAACACTGCTACATTTCCTTTTTCCTACGGTGTAATAATTTCAAGCCAAAATAAACTAGTTTACAGCAAAAATCTATGTTGAGGACATGCCTGTTCTCTGAGAAGCTGTGCAGTTTTATAGTTCTGAGACACGCAGATTGAAGGGATTTTTTTTTTTTACTGTGACTAAAATTAAACTTGGATGAAGTGACTCTTTAAACTAAAACGTCTGAAGAACTCAAGAGTTTCTAATGGAGGTTTTCAGCACCTTGTTAATGACTACTTGATGAAGCTCACGTTTGCTAAAAGGAGGAGGACAGCAGTTCCTAGAAGTCCCAGTACTTGATTAAAACCCCAGTGTGCTATGCCTGGTGCTAACAGAAGACTATTCCCCACCCCCAAAGAACCCACAATTTATGTGCTGACCAAAAGACACAGGAAAAAAACAGCGTGGCAGTCAGCAGATGGTATCAGCTGCCTTAACCAGGGCAGTATCTGGGGGAACACTACAGAGCAGGACTGGTCTGTCGCTGCTTACAAGGGACTGCAACTCCTGCCTGCATCCAGAAGGAGAAACAGAAATTTCCAGGCCCAAATCCTTTCTAGCACCACGTGGCCGAGCAGAGTGCATCTTTCAGCATCTCCCATCTTTCAGCAGGGAGGTTTGCATTCAAACCAGGATTAGGCTGCGAGCAAACAGAAGGCTGAGGGACTCAACTCTGCCTCCTGCAAATATTTGCCAACGTCATAAAACTATCACTCTGGTATGCACAGCACTTTTTTCTCAGAAGAAGGATCAGAATGGCATAAACTATAATAAATTGTGGCTTAGATGCAGTGGCTCAAGTGGTGGACAGAAAAGTTGACACCATCTGCTCTGTGCCGACGTTCAGACAACACCACACAGACTTCATTTCATCAGCATCACATCAGTTAAATTCCACCAGGCTCTGAAGGTGGAAAACCGTGAAGAGTTGGTAATATTCTTTGTTCATTATTGACATTTGTGTAATTTAACCCACTTATTGTAAATCTGTGATCTCCCTCGTTTGCATTTGCATTCCCAACATTCCAGTAGCAGCATTTCTGCCCAGCGTACCTCGTATATACTGCAATTTCAATGAGAGGCTCAAAGAAAGCTAATACCAACTGCACTTTGCAGATGAAAAGCTCAGTCACAAAAGCATTTACTGAAAGAAACATGGAAGCCTGTGGCTTCCTGAACTCAACCATGAACCAACTCACATCTTTTTAGTCTTTTTCCTCCCAGAACAGGTATCAAAAGGCTTGGTAACAAGCCAGCTTTTTAAAAGGCAAGCTTACAGCAAGCCTTCTATCACATACACAAATAGAGTGGATAATCCAAATATAGTATGTAAAATAATAAAGGCAAAAAACAAGAGCTTTTTGAGAAGGGAGCTCACTACAGCACTGTTCAAAAGTAGGACACGTGACAGACACAAATAATTATTCCACTATACCATTTATTTTTTATTACTTTTACCCTCGTAGGACACCTTAGCATGGACAGCACCAAGACAATTTCCAACATAACTCGTTCATCAAATCCCACAGGATCTGGTGACACTTGATGGAACTAATGGAGTACTTAAAAATAACAATAAAGAGGAACAAAAGGAACCTGTTCATTAGACCTGATAGCAGCCTTTCAGTATATGAAGAATGAGTATAGGAAAGAAGGGGACAGACCCTTTAGCACAGTCTGCCGTAACAGGACAAGAAATGGTTTCAAAATAAAAGAGAGGAGATTCAGACTGGATATAAAGAAGAAGTTTTTTTCCAGTACAGTCAATGAGGCACTGGCACAGGTTGCCCAGAAAGGGGGTGGATACCCCAACTCTGGAGATGCCCAAAGTCAGGCTGGAGGGACTCTGAGCACCTGGTAGAGCTGTAGGTGTCCCTGTTCAGTGCAGGGGAGTCGGACCAGATGGCCTTTAGGGGTCCCTTCCAAATCAAATGACTCCATGATTATGTGATTATATACCCGGAGATCTGCAGCTCGCTTCCATGGGATACTATGGAGAGAAACATCAGAAGTGAAAATAGGAATTAAATGAGCTCCGGGAGAACATGTCCAGAGTATGGGCCAGGATATCCCCTGGACATCCCCAGTGCCGTCTGCCATCATTCTGCAGCATCTTCCACTGGGCACTCCCATGTGTGTCCCTCTGCCCCTGCAGCACAAACCAACAAGTCTTACATCCCTCTCAAGCTTTTCAGCCACACAAATGAGACAAGAACATATTTTTATTGTGAGGGCCAACATTTGTACAGTAACTTTATTATGTAAAGACCTACGTAAGCATCAAGTTGCCAGACAACCATTCAGTCCTTTGGCAGCTCTTTGTTTCTCAATTAAAGGAAAGCTAAGAGGAGTCAACCCATCAGGATGCAGAACTGAGAATGAAACACACGAGCAGTGATCAGCACTTCAACGCCCGTTATTATGTTTGCACATTTACAAAGTTCTCCTGGTCTTTTTCTCACATTCTCAGAGAATGTGAGAAATTATTAGCTGTGTGATGAATAGAGACGCTAAAGATGCATATGCAAGATCTACAATGTGGTCAAATAACCTCAAGCAAAAATACTGAACAACACTCCTGGAAGCATCCAAGGCCATGCTAGATGTGGTTCTTGGCAGTCTGGTCTAGTGGTTGGCAATAATGCACACAGCAGTGGGTTCACAATTGGATTATCATTACAGTCCTTTTCAACCCAGGCCATTCTATAATCTGTGATCTAGTTCTGCCCTAACATCCAGGAAAAAAGAAAAGAAGTCATGTCGCTCTAACGGGACTCAAAGGAAATGTTATGGTAATGTTGAGAAGATGCAGCATTTGGCTCATGAAGAGCAGTCATGAGGAGCTAGGAGAATACATGAGGCGCGTGGAGGTATTGCTGTATGGATATCTCCTACTGTTTCTCTGCAGGCAGCAGTTACCAGCTGCTGTGAGACACAAGATCACTAAAGATGTGGTTTCATCTGGCATTGTCACGTTGTGTTTGCACACCAACAGTTTCTAGTGAGCAGGCTGAACAGAAAAGAGAACAATTGTCAAGTCACTGGATAATAACAGAGATAATCTAGCTGAAACGCTTCATGGTGCCTCACGATACACTGCAAAATATCAGAGCACTCCTTTTGTTGCCTCAGATGACTGTAGGAACACTGACTACTCTGGAAGAAAAATGAGAACATCAAACCCCGAACCAGCCCTCAGAAAAGCAAATTTCTCAGCTCATCTTTAAAGCTCGACCCTTTTATGCATCTCATCTGATTTGCACCAGAACCGTTCAGGTTTCTCTTCACCTTTCATCAAGATAAGAGGTTTCCTTGCCAAGGAAAGCAGTCTGAAATGGCAGCCTGGTTCAACGCCACAGGCGGATAGCTTTGCGTTGGAGTGCTTTAATATGTTTTTATATTGCATATAAAGCATGCAAACATAAACCAGTTTGTTGAAAACTACCTTCTTAGTGGAAGCCGGCTGTAATTCTGAACAAGTTTTCAATTTTCGCACTGCTGCTAGGGTAAAACATTTTAAAGAGTTTAATTTTTACAGAGGCTTCAATGACACAAGATTATCTAACAAAGTAATGGTTAATCAATAGAGGGTTTAGTTGTCAGGTGAAACATATAACACACTAAAAGGGATTGATTGCAAGGCTCCTCCTTATTTACTAGGAGGTATATATTTAAAATGACACAAACTTGTTACCAAGCCGCATTCCTTTAACCTTGCAAAAGCCGTTTGAGAACGGTGTTAAGCAGCCCTACAGCAAAACAAGCTCTAATGAGAAAAAAACCCTAGGAATATATGGTGGCACCAAATCATGTCAGAAGCAGGGGACCACAAAGCTGTATCCACTCTCAGCCAAAGGCTCAAAACGCCACAGAGACGCGAGGCTATAGTTCACTAAAGATAGAGCTGGATCTGATCTCATTCCATAGGAGTCTTTGGTTACATTTTTCTTTTTAAAGAACGCACGGTGCTGCTCTCTGACACAAACACGGAACCATCCTCCCCGCGTCGGTGAGGCTCGGGATGAAGGTGGAATGCCAACTGACGGCTGGAACCCCAGGCTGAGCTGTGAGCGTGCGCCTCGTCTCAACCCCAACTCCCCGGCCATTTATTCAGAGAATCCCCAGTCCCTGAACAAAACTCCACTTTTTAATAGAAGCTGCAGCCCAGGAGCTCAGTAAGATTCCCCCCCCCATAGTTAATAATTACATGATTTATCAGAGAAAGATAACACTAATAAAAACGCGGCCAAACGACAAAACCCACACCCTCCCTCCAAGTCATTTTCAGGGAAAAGATTATTAAACTGTTCTTTTTGAACAAGGGCTTCTGTAGCTGAGCACAAATTGCCAAACGGTTAGAAAAAAAGTTATTAGACTCCGAAGAATTGAGCAGAAGTGGGAAGTTATATAAACAAATCACTCCAGCAGATTTGGAAAGATCGCTTTCATCTCACTTAGAGCCTTAGGAGACTTGCATTAATTACCCTTTAAAGGTCTTTCACATGGACTATTTAAAATAAACGCAATTTATTTATTTATTTCAAATGAGGTGCTTCTTCCGAAAGAATTAAGTAATCTCAACAAATTTAAAAACGTTTTTATAAGCAGGTAATTAAAAAGAAGACTAGAATCAAGGCAAGCTGTAAGACATTACCAGCCATTTGCCGCAATTATTTTCTGAAGCCTAAATTTTTGGTGCCCGTAGCCCAGCCCGCGGGAAGGACAGTCGCCACAGAAAGCCATAAGCCGAAATAATGACCAGCCAAACAAAAAAACCAGATCATTCACGGCGTTTTCCCCAAAGCACAGTTTGTCATATTGCAATTACACCTTGCCTACTGCGAAAGGCAGAGTCCTTAATATTGCCACTAGAGGGAAGAAGTGTCTCAACACA